GATAGAGATAAGAAAATGCATTGTATGATCATAATTTACCTTGTCATGCTCCATCATCCATTTGGCCATTCCACTTCTCGTACCAAAAAGACGGACAATTATGAGTATAGTAATATGTAAGCGCAGCATAAGGAACCTAAAAGGCTGCACCAGCTTTGAGATGTTTACTCCTGTAAGAAAAAAGAGACGTTTGGAAAGAAAAGGCTCTGCATATATCAAAAAATACAAAACTGGAAACGAGAGTACAGCTCGACCAAGTGAAGAAAACAATAGATAAAACAGAACGGTCTCGAATCAAATTATTGATTAGGAGCGAATGTTGGGATTACTAGCAAAAGTGTGCATTTCTGTGCATTGTTCTCGGGGGAATGTTCATAAGTTTCGCATTGCCGTCTCACAGCGACGTGTACCGCATTATGGTCTTTAAATGATGTCCAGAAATCAATTAGGAATAGCATAGTCAGTGGAGATTCGGGAGGTGCCAAACACGATTTTACTCAATCCATTAACAGCCAATTGTTCATCATGTGCGTAATGTTAGCGCGGCCCTCAAGATTGGAACTTGGAGGTACCCCTTATGGAAAAACTTCCATGTCTTTCCTAGATATAAATAAATGCTAGTCGCTTGTCCTAATGATGTACCTGAACACTGCAAAAGTTTCTTTCCTTGATGCCCATCGGCAATAGAGTAGGCATGATGGTAGATGAGTGAGTGGTCGAGGAAAGCGATTGTACTACTCTTTAACTATTTTAACTCCTTTTGAATAGGCTTATATGCGGAGAGCATTTCTTATAAATCCACTCTGATCAGCACTGCAAACTAATGTAAGTGGCCCTTGTTCCATCTCTGCAAATTGAGGTTCGGTTTTCATCGTGCTGTTGTAGGGACTGTATTTGCTTGTAACTTGTTCTCTCTGTATTTTCCCAATACTATACGCGATATTCAAGATAGTGGAATATACGCCGCGTCTTATGCTGTTCATCCAATATTCCATAGTTCATTGAGTGAACCAGTGGGTTTGGGACGATTTTATAGGAGGCCTCTCAGCCTTTTTGTAATAAATAGTTTAGCATCAACGCGTTCCACAACAATGTCTTAAGATAAATGTTCAATACGTACCTTTTTACATCTCGCACAGTACGCTTCAGCTGTAGCAGCAAGTCGCTCAGTGTCCAAGAAGTTGTTCTTGGACGTACGTGGTAATACGCTTTGATACTATCTCACTACTTTTTTTGAATTCCTGTATCTAGCGGTGACTGGCTTCAAAATTATTGACATGTAGCTCA